CAGGCTGGTCTCGAATTCCTGACCTCAGGTGATCCACCAGCCTCGGCCTCCCAAAGTGCTGGGATTACAGGCGTGAGCCACCACACCCAGCCGGGGTTTTTTTTTAACTTCTAATCAGTGTATTCGAATGTGTTACAATATGCCTATTGATATGTGGCCCTCGTGTCTGGTCCACACAGACAGAGACCATATTGGTTCTATCAAACTTTGGTTGCCTTGCATTTAGAATGGGCCGTGGCTCCCAGTAGGCTCTCACTCAACAGTTGTTTCTTGGGCATCTTCCAGGTGCTAGACACTGGCCCAGATGCTTGAGACATAATGGGAGAAAACAGATCTAGTTGCCTGCTCTCATGGAGTTCAGCATCAAGTGAGATAGACAACAATCAAACAAACCTGACATGAATAACTACAGATGTCCAATCAACAACAACTGGGAGGAAAATAAACAGGGCGATATCGAAGAGAACATGGAGGGGTGGAATTTTCTGAGCTAACGGAAGGTCTGAATGATGGCAAGAAAGCAGCTACGGATGATCAGATGGGTGAGTCTGGTGGAGGGTGAGGCACATGCAAAGACCCTGGGGTGAGAAAGAGTCTGGTGGGTTTGAGGAGCAGGATAGGGAGTGAAGAGAGTGCCCGGGGATGCAGGCTCTCTCGGGGCCCAGGGAGGACTGTGGACTATTCTCTGGGGAGCTGCTCCCACCTGTGCCCCACACTTTGCACTCACGCGCTCTCAATCAGCTGCTCCAGGTCTTGCACCTTGCGGCTCAGATCCTCAGCCGGCGGGAAGCTCTTTCCCACTTTCATAAAGAGGGCTGCGATCTTGTTGCTGCGTAGAAAGCCGGCCGCCCGCCGCCGAAGCCCGTGTAGGACGCAGGCCTCCACAGCCGCTGCGGGGACATGGCAGTCAGCAGGCCCTGCCCTGCCCTGCCCATGCTCCCCAGCACCCAGCGTGTCCCAGAGCTTCTGTCAGACACAGGAACCTTGGAGAGCCCTCTCAATCTTCTTACCCTCTGTCTTAGCCAAGAGACGGGAAGCTCACACTTGTATAGGTGCATAATCAACGTTTATTGAAAAAGTGATTACATAAGAAGTACTCTTTATTAGGCATCTGCTGGGTGTCAGATAATTGTTAAAATTTACCTTTCCTAATTCTTGTGACAAAACCCATGAAGTAAGAGCTCTAGAGAGCAAACCAGCGCTCTCAGGGGGCAGAGCTTGACCAAGGTTCTGCTATGTGCAAGGAGAAATATTGACAAGTTTTGGTCTCATCATTTTGGGGTTTTTTTTGTTTTTGTTTTGTTTTTTTGCATTAGAAAACAGTTTGTTTTGAATGAATGATCAAATATTGCCTAATCTGCCCACAGATTTAAAATATTCCAGGAGATGATCTCTTAGATATCTTACTTTTAACTTATATATGCAGTACTTTTCATTTGCTTATGGTGATGTAAGTGAGCTGTCTATTCAGACTTTGTAGACACTGTTTAATCCTTCCTGACAACGGCTTATAAGAAACAACGGACAAAAGAAACCTCAAGGAGGTTCTTCAGGTTTCATTTAGTGCCATCAAATTTCTCCCACCCAAATACTTTTGAGTAGAGCTACCGAATTATTATACTATTTTATCACTTTTATTCCTCTAAGTTAATTGGTAAGTATGCTAGCAAGTCTTAAGATGGACATGCATGCAATTTTATTTGGAAATAAAAATATTCGGGAACACACAAAAGGCTGGGAATACAAATATATATATATACACACACACACATACATATATGTATCTAATTATGTGTGTGTGTATGCATGTACAGCTATATGTTTACATAAAGACATCCCACTTAAAAAAATAAGATCTTCATTTTGGGAGGCCAAGGAGAGAGGAATGTTTGAACCTAGGAATTCAAGACCAGCCCTGACAACACGGCAAGACTCTGCCTTTACAGAAAATTTAAACATTTGCCAGGTGTGGTGGCACATACTTGCGGTCCCAGCTACTCGGGAAGCTGAGGTGGGAGGAACGCTTGAGCCTAAGAGGTTGAAGCTGCAGTGAGCTGTGATTGCGCCACTGCACTCCAGCCTAGGTGACAGAGTGAGATCCTGTCTCAAAAAAAGAAAAAATAGAAAGATCTTGCCCAAAGTCAATTCAAGAAAGTGGCAGAGGTGGATCCAGGTCTGCCTGGCTGAAAAGGGGGTGAACTGAGGTCCGTGGCCTCCCAGGACACGGTGTGTGCTCAGCATGTTGTGGGCCCTGTGGGGTGGTGCCCCCAGCCATTTGGACAGCAGCTGATGGGCTGGCCAGCTGTCCTAGCTCAGGCCTCTCCACAGGACCAAGATCACGGGAGGGGAATTCGAACACGTCCTTCATTACGAGACACTCCAATTATTAAATTAAGACATTTTCAGGGAGATAGAAAGACAGACTACCACTTCCATGTACACACTGATAATCCTGACCTCAGAGACACTCAGAACCCATCTCTACCATTCTTAAAGTACAGCAAGAGCCTGGCCATGGGGTTATTTCTGGAAGCTTGTGAGCAGAGCTGGTTCAAGGAGACATGTCTGAGTCACGCTCTGAGCCCTGGGCCTGCCTGCTTTGCTGAGCCAGATGGACATGACCCTTCAGGCTATGTCACGGGCTCTTAGTTCCCTTTTTTAAAAAGTCCCCATCTACCCTCTCCCTTTACCTAGCAATAGCCACAGGCAGAATGATGGACAGGGAGCCCATTCCTCAGACGCAAGACCGTGTGTCACTTGAGGCACGGTCAGTGTGAACGGTGCCCACGGGGAGGGGAAGACAATCAACTCCTCCAGTGTTAACCACACTGACCTCTTCATGGGGTACAGAAGTCATTTTTAATTGTTTATCTACACTGTTCTGTATTTTCAAATTCTCCAGTGGAGTCCCCCTTTGGAATCCAAAACTAACTTCAGAGTCTAAAGCAAAACAGTGGCTCAAAGACACCACTTCCCCGAGGCTGCCCACAGAGAAAGAAGCCACTTTCCCGGGCTACAGACTCACCACAGAAGGAGATGATGTGGCTGCTGTCTTCGTGGACAAACTTGCGTGTCACAGCCTCCTCCATGATCTGCTTCACCTGGAAGGCAGAGGTGACCGGAGGGGAAGAGGTCCAAGGTGACCAAGGTGACCTGGGTGTAGGTGCCCCAAAAGGGCTGCACTGCACCCCACAAGGCCTTTCGGGCTGTTTAGGATGTTTTGATACCTGCTTTCCTTCCCCCTCCTCATCTTGTCTTTTGGAGGTCTGAGGCCTGCTTCCCATTTAATCTGAGCTCCATGCTTCCCATTTTATCAATTATTTGTTCAGGTCCTTTGCACAGTGGGCTGCTGCTTCTCTTAGGGTTCACATAAGATGTCATCTCCTTTCCTGACCACACTAAGGCAGACCCCTCCCCAATCCCATCCCCTATCTTAGTTCCTGTAGGGCACGCACCACTATTCCCATTCTTTTTTTTTTTTTTTTTTAGATAGTGTTTTGCTCTGGTGGCCCCGGTTGGAGTGCAATGGCGCGATCTCGGCTCACTACAACCTCCGCCTCCCGGGTTCAAGCCATTCTCCTGCCTCTGCCTTCCAAGGGGCTGGGATTACAGGCGCCCGCCACCACGTCTGGTTAATTTTTCTATTTTTAGTAGAGAAGGGGTTTCACTATGTTGTCTTGAACTTCTGACCTCAAGTGATCCGCCCGCCTCGGCCTCCAAAAGTGCTGGGATTACAGGGGTGAGCCGCGGCACCCAGTCTACCACTATTCCCATTCTTTTTGTTGATTTGTTGGCCATCTGTTTCTCTCTTCTAGAATTTAAGTTCCACAAGGGCGGAAACTTCATCTGCCTCATTCACTGCTGAATTTGCACAGCCTAGAACAGTGCCTGGCACAGGGCAGATGCTCAATCAACATTTTCTAAATGACTGGATGAATGAATGAATCAGTGTATGAATGAAAGAATAAGATATATAAAGGAATCGAGAAAGTGCAGGGTAAAAAAACTGCCCTGGAATCAGGTAGACCTGAGTTCAAATCCCAGCTTGGAGACCTCCCAAACGGGTTTCTGATCTTATTTTGGGAAACAGACGCTCAGCGAGATAAAGGCACTTACCCAGGTAGGCAGAGCTGGCTGACAGAGACAGGTTCCAGCTCGAGACAGACACCCAGGCCGTGTGCTCTTCCCAGCGCACTCGCTCCCTCAAGAATTCTCACCTGGGTGCCTGTAATGTGCCAGGCACAGGGACACAGTGTCGAAGGGCAGCTGTGCCTCTGCTCGTGGTGTCGATCCTCTGGCAGCCTGAACACCCTTCTGCTCCACTGGATTCTGGGCCCGATTCTGCCCAGAGTCACCGTGGGATTTAAGCAAGGTCCGTCTCCTCTCTGGGCCTCAGTTACCCCACTTTGAGGTTGAGGAGGTTGGAAAACACAATCCCAAAGGCCTGTTTCAGCTCTACATCACCCTGAGGGTTCTGATGTTGGGGTAAATAAAGCAAAGTTCTGAGTTACCCCCACCCAGTGGGTTTCCATGCCCTTTCCCACTGTCCTGTGGCCCGTCCAGACTCCACCAGGCCAGCACATCCATGCATCCATCTGAGAGCTGTCCTAGGCTCCCCCTGCCCACTCTCCCTGCCTTCTGGTTACATCCTGGTGTTGAACACAGAGTTCGGTGCATCCCTGTCCATCTTCTCTGCAGAAACACATGGCAGTGTCCCCCCAGAACCGGCTCACCACCCTCACCCCACACAACCAAGTCAGCACCAGCCCTGTGAACAGCTCCCGATCTCAGCACTCCACCAGCTCCAAGCTGGGCATTGCCTGCAGCATTTCTAACCCTGAAAACTATCTAAGGAGGCCCATGAAGTTGGCTTCATTTTGCAGATGTGGAAACTGAGTCTCATGGAGGCAAACTGACCCACCCAAGGTCACAGAGTAGGAGGGGGCACAGTAGAAATTCAAACTTATCACTTTTTTTTTCTCCCTGTACAGGCTCCTGCTGCTGTATCTTGGCTCTTCTCACTATTAGCTGTGTTTCCTCAGGCAAATCATGTCACTTCTCTGAAACTTAGTTTTCTCCTTGGTTCAAAAGGTTATAGAAATAGCACCAGCTTCAAGGCGCTTGGGAAGGCTGAACAAGATAATGATCATCATATACTGAGCATAGAGCCTGGCACGCAATGAATGTCTGCAAAGTGTGCTGCAAATAAATTTCAGCTGCATGCAGGTCATCAGCTCCACCTGAAACCTTACCTGGCCTCCCATCACCATTATTTTGGACCTGGCTGGAATGTCACCGGTTCAGGACATCAAATTCCCCTGCTTGGGTTACTAGAGAAGCTGCTTTTGAAACACCCATCAGGCTGGACGCGGTGGCTCACACTTGTTATCCCAGCACTTTGGGAGGCAGAGGCAGGTGGATCACGAGATCAGGAGATCGAGACCATTCTGGCTAACACGGTGAAACCCCGTCTCTACTAAAAATAGAAAAAAAATTTAGCTGGGCTTGGTGGCGGGCCTGTAATCCCAGCACTTTGGGAGGCCGAGATGGCAGATCACGAGGTCAGGAGATCGAGACCATCCTGGCTAACATGGTGAAATCCCGTCTCTACTAAAAAATACAAAAAAGTTTAGCTGGGCGTGGTGGCGGGCACCCATAGTCCCAGCTACTCAGGAGGCTGAGGCAAGAGAATGGCGTGAACCCAGAAGGCAGAGCTTGCAGTGAGCCAAGATAACGCCACTGCACTCCAGCCTGGGTGACAGGGCGAGACTCTGTCTCGGAAAAAAAAAAAAAAAAAGAAAAGAAAAGAAACACCCATCAGACGTGTAACATTTGGTCAGCACTTGTTTTCCCTGCCAGTCTCTGATCCCCATGAGGGCAAGCACTCTGTGTCTCCTTGCTTTATGGCTATGGTGCCAACAACTACCTCGAGTTCCAGCACATGGTATGTGCTCAATAAAGTTCTCTTTGCAAATGAATGGCTCAAAGAATCATGATTGAACTCAGGCTTTGGTAGAGTATTTCATTTGAAAAAAAAAAATATTTTCTTGTAAACATAATTGTGGGTAATAGAGCAGTAACATTATTATCCCTATTTGTCAGGGGAGGAAAGAGAGGCCCAGAGAGGTGGCGTAATCTGTTTGGGGTCACACAGCAGATGAGGACTGGATTTGGCGTTTGAACCCAGGTTTGTCCGACTCCAGGGGCTGAGCTCCTTCTGCAATATGTCATGAAGCCCACGTGGTCTCAGGGCATTTGCACACCTCTCTCCTCTCTGCAGGAATCTGCCTCCTTCTTTCCTTTGCTCCTCTACGGCAGGACACGGTGATGCTGAGAAACTGCCAGAAGGCAGTTGCCAAGCACCCAAACCCTGATGACATTTGGGAATAGAGCGGCAGCGGGAGTGAGTTCAGGCTCAGTCATAGATGGTAGAGGACTTCCAGGGAGGCACTGGGGGTGGGAATTCCAGGCAGCTGGGTCAGGTGCACTTTCATGAATGCACTTGGTTAATTAAGAACTAAGAATTTGGGGACAGACAGACCTGGGTTCAAATCCTGGGATGAGCCACTTATCATAACTTGGGCAAATTCCTTTACCCCCTTAGGATAACAGTACTCGGGAGGCAGAAGGTGCAGTGAGCCGAGATCATGCCACTGCACTCCAGCCTGGTGACAGAGCAAGACTCCATCTCAGGAAACATAAATAAATAAATAAATAAAAATAAAAAATAAAAAAATAAAAAAATAAAGCACCAACTTCTAAAGATTCAGTCAAATACGTTGGCTGTACCTTCAAAATGTCTTCAGATTCCAACCGCTTCTCAGCCCCTCCACCACCACCTCCCAGTCTAAGTCACCATCACCTCTCCGCTGAATCAATGCTGTAGACTCTTACCGGTCTCCCTGCATCCACTTCTAAGAAGCTCATTTTAATGCAGCCAGAAGGATCTCGTTAAAAGGTAAGTCAATAGAACAACCAGACAGAATATCAATAAGGAAACAAAGGCCTTTAGCAACACTATAAACCAACAATTGGACTTAACAGACATGTACAGGACACTCCACCCAACGATGGCAGGACGCCCACTTTTCTCAAGTGCACATGGAACACTCTCCAGGAGAGAGAATATCTTTCATAAACTTTTTTTTAAAAAATGACATTATACAAAGCATCTTTCTCATTCACAATGGAACAAAACAAGAAATCAACAGCAGAAGGAAAACTATGAAATCCACAAATAAGAGTCATAAACAGCATACTCTTAAATAACAAATGGGTCAAAGAAGAAATCTCAAAGGAAATTAGAAAATATATTGAGATAAACACAAAAACACAACATGCCCAAACCTATGGGCTGCTATAAAAGCAGTGCTAAGAAGGAACTTACAGCTGGAAATGCTTACATTAAAATAAAGAAGATCTCAAAGAAACAAGTTACCTGCACACCTTAAGGAACAAGAAAAAGAAGAACAAACTAAAACCAAAGCTGGCAGAAAGAAGGAAATAATAAAGATTAGGCTGGGCATGGTGGCCCACACCTGTAATCCCAGCACTTTGGGAGGTTGACGTGGGCGGATTACCTGAGGTCAGGAGTTCAAGACCAGCCTGGTCAACATGGTGAAACCCCGTCTCTACTAAAATACAAAAATTAGCCAGGCATGATGGTGGATGTCTGTAATCCCAGCTACTTGGGAGACTGAGGCGGGACAATCACTTGAACCCGGGAGGTGGAGGTTGCAGTGAGCTGAGATCGCACCATTGCACTTCAGCCTGGGTGACAGAGTGAGACTCCATCTCAAAATATATACATAAAAGTTAAAAATTTAAAAATTTAAAAATAAAGATTAGGGCAGCCATAAACGAAAGAGAATTTAACAACAGAGAAAACTAACAAAGTCAAGAGATGGTTTGTCCAAAAGATCCAACAAAATTGACAAAACATTAACTGGATTGACTAAGAATAAAAAAGAATTCTCAAAATTAAAATCAGAAATGAAAATGAGGACATTACAACTGATGCCATAGAAAAAAACATTATAAGAGAATACTACAAACCAATAAATGTATGTCAACAAATTGGATAACTTAGATAAGA